TTATTGATATTGTTATGAAACGAAATTATCTATTTAACATTGTAGCCTGAAATTACAGAAAGAAAATAGGATTTCCGGTTTGCAAAAAGGAAAATTTCGCCGGCCTTCAAGCGCACCGGAAGCGCAGAAAGAGCGCTCGTGCCAGTCCTACTCCGCATCAGACATTAAATGAAGAGCGGGGCGCTCGTTTCACCGCCCAACCTTTATCCGCCCTGGTCTAGAGGGCCAGAGGCTCCGCTGGCTACTCGAAATGAAGAGTTGCTCGCAGGCTACCAAATACTTTATTACAACTGCTAGCCTATATATTCATTTACTTTAATTAATTAATGTACTTACCCTCTCAACTGAAAACCAACGAACTTGTTCCTAGTATTATCCAGAAAAATATCAACATCTTTTTGTCTGCGAAAAAAAGAAAAGACATTAGAAATGTATGTACAAATTATCCTCTCCCAGGAGTTTAGATAGTGGAGGGCAGCGCGCAGCGTGAAGTGGTGAGCGGAGGAAAAAGGGTGAAAGAAAGGAAAAGTCCGCCCTCTCTCCAAAGCTTTCCGGGGAGTCTGTATTTTGTGCCCTGGGTACCAGAGGTTTTTACTCCCGTGCGTCGGGAGCTTCGTTTCGTCGGCCGCAGGCCGACACGTGTTCGGCTAAAGGCCGAAGACACGAGCGTTGAAGCCGCGAGAAAAACCGGAGCCTTGGCACCCAGGGTAATATTTTGAGAAGACGCGAAATCTCGTACTCGTAGTCGTTCACGTTCTCGAATCTAAAGGTCTCTAATACCTGACTTTAGGCCGTGGTTTGGGCGGCCTGTGCCGCTGTTCCTGTGGTTCCTCCTCGCTCCTGTCCCATATAATTTCACCATTGCTGTCACTATCCGATCCTGGGGGAGGGGTGTGTGGGGCGGGAATTCTCTCGTTGTCGATGGGTTGTTGCGGCGGGCATTGTAACTCGTAACTCGCCGGCAAGCCACAAGCTACTCTGACTTCTTCCTTTCTCTTTGCCAGTTCTTCTATTCCACCCAGAGAAACCTGCAAAAAGGTTGCACGACAAAACAAGACGATATAAGAGTGAATCATTTTAGAGTGTGAAGTAACGTGTGAAGCGGTATTAAAGTATGAATTGTGAATTTTAGACATTAAAACCTTGTAGGTGCAAAAATTAAGTATATGATAGTCTATATCCTGAGAATACAATTTATTCATCGTTTTCTATGTGCAGTGGCGAATGGATAATATAGTACCCACATCTACATCGTGGAGAGAGCTCACTAAGCGATGAAACAAGTGAAACCGTTCATTGTCCCTCTGACTTTATCTAATTGTCTTACCAAAGGGTTGGGAGTATTTATATTCTCTGTAAACACATATTACTGCACTGCGATTATTATTTGACCTACCAAAATTGTTTTCCAGAGCAGCAGAAGAATTTTTTTGATTGGAAAATGTGGACAGTTACCAGCGCAAAATTTCAGCACCATTTCCAGCAAGAGGATTGGCAAAAGTTCATCGCCTCCCATTGGCTGAGCTAACATGTTAAGAAACAACTTACATTAGGGCGTGACTAAACCGTTGTTAAATGTGATTAAAACTTTTAAGTCTAGCGATAAAATCCGATGATGTTACCATTCAAATGAATCTACTGTACATATATTATTTTACTGTGGTACTGTTTATAATGCTCTACAAGGTAGTTCCAACTTATGAATATGTGAACTTGAAATCCTAAACTGTTCAGTAGCTTTCACTTGAATGGCGACACTTTAGGATTTCATTTGCATACTCATAAGTTTGAACCACCTTGTACAACATAATAAACAGTACCTTGTTGTATGCGGTACAAGCTGGTTCTAACTTTTGAGTCTGTGGATGAAACAATCAAGTGTGACCATTCAGCTACAGAGCAGTACTTTCCTGTAGTACTGTTTATTATGCTGTACAAGGTGGATCTAACTTATGAGTCTGTGGATCAAATCCTAACGTGTGACCATTCAAATGAAAGCCACTGAGCAGTACTCTCCTGTGATATTGTTCATCACGCTGTGCAAGGTGTTGTTAATTTTTGAGTCTTACAATGAAATCTTGGAAGTGTGACCATTCCGATGAATGAAAGCTATTGAGAAGTTCCTTCCTCTGGTCCTTTTTATTATGCTGTACAAGGTGGTTCTAACTTTCGAGTCTGTGGATGAAAGCTTTTAGTGTGACCATTCAAATGAAAGCCACTAAGCAGTACGTTCCTGTGGTAACGTTTATTACGGTTTACAAAGCAGTTGTACCTTTTTCTGGGGAATCCGTGGATAAACCCCTAAGGTGTGACCATTCAAATAAGACCTCTTTAGCAGTACTTTTGTACAGTGCTATTTGTTTTTACGTAATTAAAAAACTGAATCTTTGACTTTTTGTGTGGCTTAGACCACTCCTGGTTCTCAGACAAAGAACGTGACAAAGACAAATACTTACTTAACTCAGTAAAGAAAGCCTCTTGAGCTTGAGCCATTTCCTCGCAGTCACCTGGGTCAGCGTAACGCATGGTCTCGACCATCGTGTAGATAATATTCAGGTATACTCTTGTTCAAGAAGAGATGGAGAAATATAACATTAATACAGACTAACCATTCAACTGCTGACTGACATAAAGAAAGCAGTTGCCAATGCTGTTGTTGTGATAAAGAAGGGCAATATAACATGAAAAGTATCCAACACAGTTTAGTCTAAGGGAAAGACAAGTCCAGCAAAATTGGTGTTTTTTGGTGTTGGTGAAATCATTGGGCAACGAGTCTTTTGCGCACTATTAATAAGTACTTCAAATGTAGTCATGCTCGGATTCAGAAAACCCTCAATCTAATCCAATCTAATCTAATCTAATCTGAGTATTCTTTTACAAAACTGGGCTATGGTTGAAAAAAAAAACTATATTCTTCAGAAACATTTTAGCTTTAGCAAGTCATTGTGTATAATTTCATATGCTAGGTAGGCAAAGCTTACCAAGTAAATATTTAAAAAATGAGTCATGTAAAATATTCCCCCTTATACCTGAGTGTTACACTGTCCGCCGTGGACACTGTCGGTTTCTGCAAAGCTGATAAAGCTGCATGAGAATTCCTGGAAAGGAAAAGAATTAGACCATCTTAAATACCTGTATAAACCACTATTAACCATAAATACATGCAATAGAGAGGTAATGACGTCACAGAAGCAAACTTGGTTAAATTATAGGATAGGTTGGTATATTCAGGTTGTCTACCATTTACATGGCCAACTGGTTGATCCACAGTTTGGGCAAATGGTACATAAAATTCTGGACTGGTAACTGAATTTCGTCCCGGAATCGCATTTACCATTTGTACAAATCACTTCCATTTACCGAAAGGCCTGAAACTGGTATCAAAGATGGCTCTGAAGAAATGAAAAAAACAAACAAACAAACATCAGGACTACCTTTTCAGATGTTCCGTTGCTCCCGGAAATTTTCTGCTGGAACGACCCAAAAAGTCCCGTTCCCTTTACATTACAACCGGATTTTCCGGAAACTTTTGTAAATGGTAAACAGTCTAAAAAAGAACAGGATGAAAAATGTCCACTTTCTAAACACCAGCTTGTTGGTGCAAATTGGTGAGGAGATTTAAGCAGTGCTATGCTCCGATGACGCCATATAAATCCTTCTAAATAAGGACTGGAGCGTAAACGTCACGATCAAGCCAATTTTAGAAGGATTTGTATGGAGTCAACAGAGCAAACCAGTGCTTGTATCTCCCCACCAAATTGGTCAAGTGATCATTTTTCATCTTGTTCTCTCTGAATGTGACGTCGCCCTTATCTTCGCCATTATATAATGTGGTGAAAATTACGCGCGCTATGATTGGTCGAACAACTCATGGATGACGTCACGGGAAACTTGTTGTCTTTGTTTTGCCCAATGTGGCGCGTGGTTTAAAAATGTTTGCGAGATTATTTCCAATTAAGCAAGCAAAGGGCACGAAAAAAAGTTTAGTACGCACTGTTCACAAGGAAGAAAACGGCAAAACCGACTCGTAAAGAGTTATTGACGACTTGAAAATGCCTAAAGTGGAAGAAATCTTCAAAACATTGACATCGTGTGGCATCGCTCAAGAAACTCAGAGTTTTGAAAATGTTCTCGCAGATATTCTGCTTTGAGCAAGAGCAGTCGTTGGAGAGCTTCGTAGAAAGTGTATACAAGTAAGATAAAGAAGAAAAAAGAAGCAGATACGAAAAGCAGCCTTTATCACTTGGAAATTGCCTAAACTGGCACAAATCCTCGAACAGTCAAGCGGTACGAGGCAAGTATGTCGCTTTTTCTTTTCTGTTCAACATTAACATATAAAACGAATAGATTAGTTCCATGTTGCCGTGGGTCTGCTAAGTAGCACTTGTTTGTTTTTACCACATTTTGGCGTCATCTGTGATCTATTTGGGACGCGGTTAAAGATGCTTGGAGGACGGTGACGGCAGGAGAGGAAAAGGGTTATTTGGGGGTTTTTCAAACTTCATCGCGATTATTCCAGCTCGCTTACTTTGCCAAATGTATGCGAACTCTCCTGGAGTTGAATTCTAGGAGGATTCGCATCGAGTCTTATCCAAGAGCTTATCCAAGTTTGGAAAGAGAAAGAAAATTCCGGAAAATTTCGTCCTTGCTTGTTTACGTCCTCCATAAAACGTGAAACTAGGCATTTTCACGTGGTAGTCGTGCAGTGACGGCAAAGAAATGTACAAAAAAGCGTGATGCACGTGCAAAGTTGTTTTGCTAATTAGACCTATTTGCTTTTTTGATGCTCACGTTGCATGTCGCCGTCATCGGATCTTAAAGACTCCATATCAGTGAACAAGAACATGGAATCTATTTGTTAAATATAAATAGGAAATTATCCTCTACCCTTATGGGGAACGAAATAATTCAAAAGGAACATAACATGGTTGAAAATCCCAACTGATAGGAGGCGAGCCAGTTGCCTAGTTTAAAAGCATGGCCGAGGATTTGAACTCGGGACCACCGAGAGAAAATCAAAAAAGTGATCAGGGCTGGCCTTGAAATATGGGCCCCAGCGCTTCAACTGCTCGGTCAGCCACGCTGGCTACTCTCCGCTTCACAGATCTTGCAACTGCATGATAGGAACAACGAAGGGGCTGGCGGCATAAACAGCCCAAAATTAAAGACTTTTGGGGCTTTTTTCGCTTTTCACTACTACTGCTGTCAGTGCAGCAGTTCTTGTTGTTGTTGTTACTCCGTCCAAATCACCTGAATTTTTGCACGTGGCCCTAATAGCGTGCAAAGAAAGTAGTGCCCAATAGCCCAGGGCTGGTGGATTTTGCTATCGGGCTAGCGAGTTCTGTTCTTAAGTTGCCAGATGTGCAAGTGACGTTTCGCGGGGAATTCAAATCACAAAAGAACAACTGTACTCGAACCCACTAATCAAAAATTGTTTCTCGTGCTAGTTGAAAAGACTTTTAGGCTAGTACATGCTAGCTACAGCTTGCCCGAATGGGAAGCTGTTAAACTCCCTTTCTTTGCACCCTGCCTTAGTAACTGACCACACCGTCCAACGTAAATACCCAAGGGCGTATGTTTTGACTTCACCTGAGGTCATTTTAGTCCAGTTTTCTCTATCCACCACCTTAAACTAAATCATGTTCCTTAATAGTGTTGTCTAGCTTCAAAGATTCCAAGTGTGTACTGTAGATGAACTTAAATGAATGTGATCAAACCAAATGCGTTTTCTTCTTCGAACCCAAACTTGCATGCCAGTCTTGATTATTTTCACGTAGAAAAATAATAATAATAATAATAATAATAATAATAATAATAGTAATAAACGATAATAAATCTCTATCACTTACTCGATTTCTACATTCAGAAGCTGAATAAGGAGAGGCATTATACCATTTTTGTAAAGGAAGAAGACATTCAACTGAGACTGCAAATTAAACAACAAAACATTTACAAGGTGATGAATTCTGATTTTTCATCAAATAGACGTTTTTCAGTAATCATATTTCAAACTCAGCATTATAAATTTAATTACCCATTCTCTCTGTTCTTCCTCATCGCTAACTTCACCAAAATTTCCTAAGCAGACAAAAAAGTTATTATTTACCTCGAATATGAGGGTGATTTAAATCTAATGGGANGATAATAAATCTCTATCACTTACTCGATTTCTACATTCAGAAGCTGAATAAGGAGAGGCATTATACCATTTTTGTAAAGGAAGAAGACATTCAACTGAGACTGCAAATTAAACAACAAAACATTTACAAGGTGATGAATTCTGATTTTTCATCAAATAGACGTTTTTCAGTAATCATATTTCAAACTCAGCATTATAAATTTAATTACCCATTCTCTCTGTTCTTCCTCATCGCTAACTTCACCAAAATTTCCTAAGCAGACAAAAAAGTTATTATTTACCTCGAATATGAGGGTGATTTAAATCTAATGGGACTAGATCTGTCAGAAGATCAGGCTTCTCTTTAAAATTCTTCCTTTCCAATTAGTTAGCTGTCCTTTTCTATATAGTAGGCTTTTTCTGTATTTCCAAAACTTTTTCTAGACCTTCATTCAGCTTCAGGCCAGCTCTAATTTTGTCTTTTATTTTTAACCCTAACAGCAAGAAAAAAAGGGTCATGACGTAGTGAAACCTTTTTTTATTTTTTCACTGTTATTAACTGTAACAGCATTTTGTAAAATTGAAAAGTGAGGGAAACGATTCTTGGTAGACTTCAATGAGCATAGAAGTTTCAGTCCTTTTTGCTATGTTATATTACTTTACTATGACATTGACCATGATGACATGTATTTTCTGCCATATTCATTTTATGACCATGACATGATGTCTTCAACGCAGACTATGCTAAAAAGTGCTAGCTAACACCTTTTCCTAGATTGGACTTGAGTGCAGAAGGCTTATTAATAATTATAGTACATCTGTAAGTTGATAAATTGATGATATGTAAACTTTAAATAATTACTAATGTACCTTGTACGAGATAAAGTAATACTCTTGCTGCTTTAAGTCTAACATCAGGGTCAACTGCTTCACATTTCTCCATAATGAGAAACAAAAACTTCTTCTTCTCGTTTTTCTTCATTGTGATCCATTTTTCATAACCTGAGTGAAAATATTTATACAGTATACAAGTTATTTACTAGGTGGGAGGTTCAGACATGTTAAAAAATACGTAACCTGGGGTATTCTATTAACTATGGCCTGAGACTGTGAGTTGAGAGCTGTACTCAGGATGAACAGCAGTGATTTTGTTACCTCTGCATCCTGCCTACCTGACGCATAAGAAATCACCAAAGATGCAAAATAACTTATGGTCTGTTAACAATGACCATTTACTTCAATAATGTAGGAGCTGCTCGTAAGGTGTTTCCTCATTGGTCACAAAAAACAATAACATCTCATTGCTTATTATTATTTCCCATTGTTTTACGGTTAGCGTATCAAACCAATTGGCTTTTAGGGTTAGGAGAGCTACTACATTTATTTTAATCTTCTTTGTGATTTAAACAGAAGGACTACATTTGCAAATTTTAGTTTCAGTAAACTTTAAGAAAGAGTTTTGCTTTTGAGTTTTGATTAACTCTCTGGTGGCTACTTAAAGACCCAAGTATTTTCAATTTAAGACTCTTTTTTTTTTAACTGGGACTCATTGGTTCTGCACTGGGAGTCACAGTTCTTCATGAGATGAGTCCCAGAATTCACCATAACTATTTGTAACAAAGCATCATTCTTTCCATAAAGACTGGCCTGCTTAGGCTGAAAAATAACTTTCCTGTCATTTCAATTTCACAATTAACATATTCCCATCATAATATTACTACTGCACAGGTGCAGCTTTCCAAGAATGTTGCTTGTACCATGGATGAGAGACATGCAAGACCTAGTCTGCTACACAGCCGTTTTTACTGTCGTCACGCAACGCTCCTCCCCTGGTGGGGAGGAGCGTTGCGTGACAACACCAAAAACGGCTGTGAAGCAGACTATGCAAGACCCAAACACTTTAACAATTTAAATCCCAAAAGAGATCAATAAGATCAATTTTCTCAAAACAATATCACTACACAATCAAGAGAATAAGTCAGGAGAATTAATGAAATGATCAACTACGAGAAAATGCTTTGAGTTTTTGTCAAATTCTCTCAACTTATTCTTTATGGAAATGTATAGAGACCAGTTTGGAGAATTTGTATGTAGATATTGGGGCTTAAAGGGTTAAAACATTTACAAAATTAACATAAACAAAGGGATGAGTTACCGCTACATATCTACAATGTATTCAGCTTGTTCAACCATTTTGTTCAACAATGTTGAACCATTAATGTTTAACCATTTGCCAAGAAAATTGTGTCTTTCCTACAAAGTGTTGATTCTTTAGACAGGAGTGTAGGAGTCTTAACAAGTCCTGGATCTAACCATTCAACATTCTTTATCATTGCCTTCAGGGCACTAAAAACAATACACCCTTTCCCAACATAACCTTACCTTGTGAAAACAGAGTTTTCTCAAACGCTTCTCGATTAAACTTAAATTCACTTTCTTCAGTGTAGCTGTACAGCTCTGGAAAAGAATCATTAACATATAGAGCATTAATGCAAACAAAAATATTACCCAAACTTAATAATATATTTTTTTTATGATATTTCCATCTTCTATTATTCTTATAATAATATAACTGTTTTTTTTCTCTTCTTACCATTAGTTATCAGGGAATGTAACAATTTCTCTCAAAAATGGATAAAATAAAAATGTACAAAACAACGGCTATCGCTGTAAAACTTCTGTGAGATGGAGCTCAAGGATTTTTGTCCTTATCTGAGAAGCTAAGGTTATCTAACTCATTTGTATATGTCAGAATATTATTGTTTAACAATTAATAATCATATTTAAAACCACGAGTGTTGGTCCAGCCAAAACTTCAAACCAACCTCCAAAGTCTGGCACCTTGACATTTCTAAAGCCCTGTAAACAAGTTTGAGAACATGGAAGTCTCTTCGCTGTCTTACTGGTAAACACCCTATCCAATACAATACAATTTGGTTTGGCAGAGCAATTCAATTCAAGAAGGTCTGTAGTGCTAAGTAGACAACTCAGCAGTGGTTCAAACATTGGGCTTATCCCGTGTCAAACTAAATCCATAAATTCCTGAAATATTTTTTCAGAAATATTTGTTGCTTCATTTACAGCTGACTTAACACTACATTCCACTCTCGCGTGACATCAGTTTTAACGTCGTGCTTCAGTTATGCTTGTGTCAAACCCAACTACAATGGAGGGCCATTCAATTTACTACACACCTCCCCTTCAG